CCATGCCCAGGGTGTGGGTGGTAGTCACACCATACCCAGGGTGTGGGTGGTAGTCACACCATACCCAGGGTGTGGGTGGTAGTCACACCATACCCAGGGTGTGGGTGGTAGTCACACCATACCCAGGGTGTGGGTGGTAGTCACACCACCCAGGTGTGGGTGGTAGTCACAACCATACCCAGTGGTGTGGGAGGTAGTCACACCATACCCAGGGTGTGGGTGGTAGTCACAGACCCATACCACATGGTGTGGGTGTAGTCACACCATACCCAGGGTGTGGGTGGTAGTCACACCATACCCAGGGTGTGGGTGGTAGTCACACCATACCCAGGGTGTGGGTGGTAGTCACACCATACCCATGGTGTGGGTGGTAGTCACACCATACCCAGGGTGTGGGTGGTACATCACACCATCCCCAGGTGTGGGTGGTAGTCACACCATGTGCCGCAGGTGTGGTGGTAGTCACACACCATACCCAGGGTGTGGGTGGTATAACACCATACCCAGGTGTGGGTGTTAGTCCACAAACACCAGCCCTAGGGTGTGGGTGGTAGTCACACCATGCCCAGGGTGTGGGTGGTAGTCACACCATACCCATGGTGTGGGTGGTAGTCACACCATACCCAGGGTGTGGTGGTAGTCACAGTAACCATACCCAGGTGTGGGTGTAGTCACACCATACCCAGGGTGTGGGGTAGTCACACCATACCCCATGGTAATGGTGGTAGTCACTACCATACCCAGGGTGTGGTGGTATCACAACCATACCCATGGTGTGGGTGGTAGTCACACCATACCCAGGGTGTGGGTGGTAGTCCATCATAACCCAGGGTGTGGTGGTAGTCACACCATAACCCAGGGTTGTGGGGTGGTAGTCACACAGCCATACCAACCCCATGGTGTGGGTGGTATCAACACCATAACCCAGGGTGTGGGTGGTAGTCCATACACATACCCATGGTGTGGTGGGTAGTTGGTAGTCACACCATACCCAGGGTGTGGGTGGTGAGTCACACATACCCATGGTTGTGGGTGGTAGTCACATCATACCCAGGTGGGGGTGGTAGTCCAAACATACCCATGGTGTGGGTGGTAGTCAACACATAACCCATGGGTGTGGGGGGTAGTCACACAAACCCATGGTGTGGGTGGTAGTCCACACATAACAAGGGTGTGGTGGTAGTCACACATAACCCAGGGTGTGGGTGGTAGTCACACATACTCCATGGTGTGGGTGGTAGTCACACATACCATGGTGGTGGGTGGTATTGAAAATGCACACATACCCATGGTGTCGGGTGTAGTCACAACATACCATGGTGTGGGTGGTAGTCACTACATACCCATGGTGTGGTGGTATCACACATACCCATGGTGTGGGGTGTAGTCACACATACCCATTGTGTGGGTGGTTAGTCACACATTACCCAGGGTTGTGGGTGGGTAGTCACAACATACCCATGGTGGTGGGGTGGTAGTCACACCTACCCAGGGTGTGTGTTGTAAGTCACACCATACCCATGGTGGGGTGGTAGTCCACACCATACCCAGGGGTGGTGGGTGGTAGTCACACATCCCGGGTTGGGTGTAGTCACACACATACCCATGGTGTGGTGGTAGTCCCCCCACACCAACGCAGGGTGAGGGTGGTAGTCACCACCATACCCAGGGTGTGGGTGGTAGTCACACCCATACCCAGTGGTGTGGGTGGTAGTCCACAAACCATACCCAGGGTTGTGGAGGTAGTCACACCATACTCCATGTGTGGGTGGTAGTCACACCATAAACCCAGGTGTGGGGTGGTAGTCAACCATACCCAAGGTGTGGGTGGTAGTCACACCATACACCCAGGGTGTCTTGGGTGGTAGGGCCGCCGGCCACAAACACCATACCCAGTGTGGGTGGTAGTCTCACCATACCCATGGTGTGGGTGGTAGTCAGAATATTACAGAGGCATATACATACTGTCCCGAAAAATTATATAAAATATCATTCAGAACTATTAACATTGATACTGTTTTTCAGTATTTTGGATTGTACATTGATTTAATATATTGGTCGCAGAAACTTGTCTTGATGAAGGTGATTCAAATGTCACTGTAACGTTGATAATTATGCAAATTCCTCGATATACTTGCTCACATAATTATGTATATGGCAAGGTGGAATTCTTTTCTTCTCCTTCTTCCTATTATTATTATTATTATTATTATTATTATTATAATTATTATTATTATTATTATTATTGTTATTATAATTATTATTTATTTTTATTTTATTAAGACATCGGCAGATTCCCACCAAGGCAGGGTGGCCCGAAAAGGAAAACTTTCATGACACCCGTCCTTATTATCATTAAAATGTTAAAGAGGAAGCGCTAAATCTGGAAAATAGGAAATAATCAGGCTTCATACAAGAGAATGGGGGCCTCCAATTCCTTTGATCAAGAACCCATAACCAACATCAAGTAACTCTCACTGAGGACAAAGAAAAGTGGAAACAGTTCGTGTATACAATTAAATTTTTTACTTACAATCTACATTGTACACATGAAAAATATATCCCAGGTGAGTGTGAATACAATAAGTTGCAGTAACAGTTCGTTTATCTGGCGTATCTAATCAGCAGTCTGCCGTCACATCATTTCTAAATTTGGAGTATCAGCAGCAACATCAGTCACCAGCGAGGTAGTGAGTGCAAGTCTTCTGCTCCTTCTGTTGCTGTGTTTACATAGACAGTCATCTAGGTAAATATGTGTAATCAGTATGTCCGCCACTCTCTCTTCTGTTCAAACACTATCGACAAAAATAATTTTGGGAAATGCCTTGTGCAGAAGCAAAAATTCTTCGGTTTTGGTGGACTAGTTTTTCCGGTACAAGTAAAAAGAAAATGAAAATTTGCCGTGATGAGGTACAGTAAGATCAGCAGCACCAATAAGTCAACGATGCGAGTGATGCCCAGTTTTTTCTTTTTTTAACTTTGAGATTACTTCCTAGAGTGCCCCGGAAACTACTTTCCAGAACAGGTTGTCGGTCTCGATGTTATTACGGAAACCAAAAGGTATTCTGCTACGTGAGGGAGGTCATGCCGGAGAATAGCATTGTAAAACAGATGTTTAAATTAGGCTTATTTTTTTTCAAATTTTGCAGGTTTCGGAAGGATAAGCTTAATACTGAAAAATGTACGTAAAATTGGTAAATTTTAAATTATAAAACCAACTAAAAATTTCAACTACGTAGGGCACACTAATGTTGAGAGTTTAAAGTCAATATAATGATGCAGTCTCAAGTAATAGACCCAAAACAAATATTACATGTTTTAATTGAAATTAACAAATCATGTCCACTTAGTCCAAAATCATTCCAAACTTTGCACTAACTGTGTGGAAAATACTGTATATATTTTCCAGAAATACAGTAGTTATATGTATATAGATGGCCATACTGTATTTAATAAAAATTATGTTATCGAAAATGGGAAGCCTGTGCCTGCGCAGACGAGACTCGCCATTGTTATTTGAATGGAGTAACAGACGTTAGTTAATAATGTGAAGAATTTTCGTGCTCTAGAGGTAAAATAGTGTTGACACCTCTCAAATAGGAGGAGCGAAATTGTTTGGATATATGCATTCCTGCATATAATGAGATAGCAGACGGACTGACAAGACTGCTCCAGGAACCTCCAGATAACATCTAGATTTGTGTTATAATTCTGGCCAGTATTTTCATAAATTTAGTTATTTGAGGTTTTTCTGAGTATATACACCTTTAACTCTCAGTCAAATTGGTGAGTGATTTTATGATTTCTACTTCTGTTATGTATATATGTATATATATATGAGCATTTATTAATTTTAATATACAGTCCACAAATTATATATGTTACCATAATTCCTGGTGATGTAATTCATTGGTAATTAATAGGTCGCAGAGCAAACTCTGTGGATATTACAAGTGGTAGGTATCGAAGGGGGACATTTTTTGTGACCTAGGTGTCCCAAATTCCTACTTGTCTATGTAACTGATAAATAATAATTATCTTTGTTATCATTTACTGTTATGTACATAATGAGTTACATTCAGATAAATGTAATTTTCCACAAACTGAGACAAGTTGAAGAATTTGAAGGTGAGCAGAAGAGGCATTCTGTAGTTATTACATGGAAATGATCCCAACTATTTTTAGTAAAACTAGCAAACTGGGACTTACACAGGTCAGTAGCAAAGAAAATCTTAATTTTAGCATAATACAGCAGCACAAAAAGTTAAACCGATCAGAAGATATTCCCCAGGTATTAAATGAAAACCAGTAATCCCCATTACATTAACTATTTTAGTAAACTGTCCAATTTCTACATATGTAGGCTAAAATTTTACTGAATTATTTTCATTTTCAGAGGCTCATCAGTGCTTAAAAGTTTCAAAACATTTTGAAAAGGCATTCAAATTATTTTACAGAAAAATACATACAAACTCCAATAGACATGGAGCCTCTTTCTGGGTTTGTTACACTTAAAGCTTTAAGTTTAAAACCCGATCAAAGAAGCTTTCTCTGCTACCCATAGAAAAAAAAATACTTTTAATGCAAAAAACTGACCCCGGGCATCCGACTTCCAATAAAAAAACCTTATCCTTAAAAAATCCCTAAAAAAACAGTACACGGCTTTTAAAAACTAAAAAAAGCTAAAATTTACGACACCTGTCCTTACTTAAAAACTAAAGGGGGGAAAATTTTTTAAAAAAAAAAATTTAAAAAAATATATATAAAAATTTAAATTTTATATTATTAATAATAATTTTTTAATATTTTTATATTATAATATATATATATATTATTATATATATATATATATATTTTATATAAAATAATAATTATATAATATTATATATTATATATATAATAATATATAATTATATATATATAAATATTATATTATTTATATTTTTTTTTTTTTTTTTTTTTTTCCAGAGGTGAGCAAGCGCCAAACCCCCAACTAAAAAAAGGGAGGAGATTCAGCTGCTCTCAAAGGTACGACTTTTTTTTTACAAGCACTACCTTTATATAACAAAGGACCCTAATTATTTTTTAGGTCGGGGGTAATGGGGGGCGTGGGTTTTCGATTAAGGAAGGGGAGGAAAAATTTCACTTTCTTGGATAAAGAGCCCCCCCCGGGCACCCAGGCACCCCCCGTGAGGGAACACAACCCCCCCCCCCCCAAAATATAAAAAGTATATTAATTTTAAAGTTCCATTTCTGGTTTATTGTAATTACCCGTTTTACCCTTTAACTTCATAAAATATTTAGCAAAAAAAAATTTTTAAAAATTTTTTAAAATTACCTTAACTTTTTTTAATTTTTCATTTTCGTGTTTTAATTTTTTTCCCACTTCCAATTTTTTCCACCTTTCACCAATATTTGTAATAAAAATTTCCCAAATCCCTTCGGCTCTGTTTTTTTTTATTTTAATTCGATTTTTTTGTTAGATTGTTAAAGGGCACTAAAAATCCTTTATATATTCTTTTATATCCTTTTAAAACCCAAGAGTTATTAGTCTCATTTTTTTCCTCCCCAGCCAACAGGGGCTGTTTAATTATTTACCTTTATTAAGTAATGGTAGGGGAATAAAACGGGCAAGTTTTATGAATAAAAACAGCTGTAAAACTTGAGTACTTATCGTAAGACGTTTCACCAACCATTGGTTTTATCAATCCAACAAGAATAATAATTAAGACGAGGAAAGGGACGTAATTTTTGGTGCATCCCCACCTTGATAAATCTTAATGCCGAAGATCAAATGGTAACACATTTCCCCCTATAAAAACCCCTGTTCCTTATTTTGCCTTTTTTTGCACTTGTTTTGAAGCTTCTATCAAAAAAACGAGCAGTTTTGAGTTAGGCTAGTAAAATGTCAATCTTTAGGAAGGGTAAAGGAAAGGGTTCCTCACTTAAAATAGTTTTACACGAGTAAATGGTCCAATTTGCCAGTCAAATGCCAAATTGGCACCGAGGGGGGGAATGGGAATAAGGAGGTGGGAAAATGACGTTTTCATGTAAACTGGGCATACAACCAGTAAAGTTGATGAAGCTGAAGAGGGGCAGACGAAAAATATAGTAAGAGTGTTTGGGGTTTGAGAGTCAAAAGGGTGAGAGTACCCCATTTAAAAAAAGGGGAGAAGAGAAAAGGGGAAGCTCCAACTATCTCATGGGGCCACAGGAGATCCCCTCCCCAAGGAAAGAAAATTAAAATAACCGAAAAAGAAGAGGTGGAGGTAGGGGAAAGGGAAACCCGAATTTAACATCGGGGAAAGAGAATGGCAGAAGGAGAAGATAAAAAAGACTGATACCCCTTGTTCAAGTAGATACGGGGCTGCAGTGTAATGCAGTTTAAGTATGAACAAAAAACCTGTAAGTTTAATATTTTATTATGCCCCCCATACCCATCCGTGGGGTAGTCAAAAAATTACAGAGGTACAAAATTGGGGCCGGAGGATCCAAAGTTTTGTACTGAGCAAGTTACAGAGGAATGAAATTTACAATTTTCAAAAAGGAATGAACTCACAAATTTCAAAGGTAATGAACCCGGGGAGGCTAGTCACACATGACAAAGTTACAAATTTATTATTATTTTAACAAGGGAAGGCAAACCCGAGGATTATACGCGCCTGGGGGGGGGTTGGGAAAGGGTTCAGGCTAATTCGGGGAACTGGGGCAACCAAATTTCCCCAAATCAAAAGCCCCTCCCAAATCAAGGAACCTTCCTTGAGGGGGCAAGTTACAAAAGTATTTACAGATTACAGAGGTACGTAATGGATCCAGGGACTGGGCCCCAAAGTTTGGATGGCTGAACTAGGTACAAGGTAATGAGCTCACAAGTTACAAAGGTAATGAATACTGTAAGAATGGTTACTTACGTTTATACATGGCTACAATCATGAACAAATTATAGTGTAATGAGCAATTCACACTTCCACACCCGGTCACAACTGTAGTGAGTTATTGGTGCAAATATTGATTGTTGAGTCACACACACACACACACACACACACACACACACACACACACACACACACACACACACACACACACACACACACACACACACACACACACACACACATACAAATTCACACACACACACACACACACACATAAACACTACACACACACACACACACACACACACACATACACAAACTCATCCACACACACGCACACACACTCATACCGGTGAAGAGCAACCGGTGAAGAGGCGGGGCCAGGAGCTAAGACTCGACCCCTGCAACCACAAATAGGTGAGTACATACACACACCCACTCATACACACACACACTCATACACATACACACGCACACAAACACACACACAAACACACACACACACACACACACACACACACACACACACACACACACACACACACACACACACACAAGCACTGGACAAGCACCTAAAGTCAGTTCCTGATCAGCCGGGCTGTGGCTCGTACGTTGGTTTGCGTGCAGCCAGCAGCAACAGCCTGAGAGTGTGGTATATCAGTTCGTGCAAGAAGTGTGCTCTCATTATAAGTTCCATTGCGAAAAGGATCCCATAAATGTGATGAGATATAGCCCGAGACGGGATGGATAATGACGGAGGGCAATTTAGGTTCTTGTAAACAGACATAAACGGGAAAACTGGGAAACACCTGAAGCTCACCCCGATTATGCTTGAGGCCTGGAATATCCCACTGTAAGTAAGTCATGAATTCCCATAAGATGTATACTGGCAACATGAAGCAGTAGGTGTCTACGGACTAGTATAGTCAGTAAAAAACTACATGTGGAGGTAGCAGATAATTAGTAAGGAGCGAAGGTTTGGAACGATGCGAAGAAAGGAGTTATGTAGAAGGTTGAGTAATGTGTGAAGGAGTAATGGGAGGTGGATCAATACCCATTACAGGTTTTGTCTCTTCGATATATTCGGAGAGGGCTTCAAGCGTTTTAGATGACTAGGAAGCAGCAGACAGTGCGATATCAGTGGTAGAAGGTGGAGGGTGAGTAAAGAATGGAGAGACAATGGAAGTTGCCAGAGAAGGGGGGGATGAGAGGTTAGAGGGAACGTGGGAAGGGACAGGAGAGGACAGAAATTGAGTGGGGACAGGAGACTAAGGAACCTAGAGTTTACTGGCAGTTTACCTGGAGACGGTTTCGGGGTGCAACGCCCCCGCGGCCCAGTCTGAGACCAGGCCTCATGGTGGATCAGGGTCTGATCAGCCAGGCTGTTACTGCTGTCCGCACGCAAGCTGACGTACGAACCACAGCCTGGTTGGTCAGGTACTGACTTTAGGTGCCTGTCCAGTGCCTTCCTGAAGACATCCAGGGGTCTATTGGTAATCCCCCTTATGTATGCTGGGAAACAATTAAACAGTCTTGGGCCCCAGACACTTATTGTGTTGTCTCTCATGGTACTCGTGGTGCCCTGCTTTTCATCGGGGAAATGTTGCATCTCCTGCCGAGTCTTTTGCTTTCATAGGGAGTGATTTTTCGTGTGCAGGTTTGGTACCAATCCCTCCAGGACCTTCCAAGTGTATATTATCATGTATCTCTCTCGCCTGCGTTCGAGAGAATACAGATCAAGGACCTTCAAAAGCTCCCAGTAGTTTAGGTGTCTTATCGTACTTATGTGTGCCATGAAAGTTCTTTGTACACTCTCCAGGTCTGCAATGTAACCAACCTTGAAGGTGGCCGCTAGTGTAACAGATATAATAAGAGGTAAAGGACTAGGCTCAGAAACAGGAAAATGTTTGCGAATGATATGGGATTGAGGGGTTAAAGGAGATTTGAACTTTGAAGATTATAATAATAATAATAATAATAATAATAATAATAATAATAATAATAATAATGAATTTTGGAGATTATTGAGACTTTGGAGAAGTATGGATGCGAGGTGGTGGTGTAGTTGTGGGAGGTTGTGTAGATACAAAAACACGGGAAAATAAACACGTGGGCAGTATAAAGTCATTCTTTAGTGACAACGTTTCAATAAAGGATCACATTATAAGAAAATAAGAACATAAGAAAGAAGGAACACTGCAACAGGCCTACTGACTCATGCGGAGTGCCCGGCTCCGGCTGGGTTACAAGTATCTTTGGCAGGTTAAATCACCACCACCAGATGTAGACCAAACGAAATGTAAACTTTGCCAAGGACTTGTCACACCTGCGTCATTATGTACGGATAAATTAATGAATTATGAAACAACTCATCAAAGTGTTCAGAAAATGGCAAAATGTTAAAATTTATCCACAGGGGATATTACAGACCATCTGGAGAAATACCCTGACTTTGCTAGCTGTAAAGCATACCCAAAGTGCATGTGTGTGTGTGTGGGTGTGTGTGTGTGTGTGTGTGTGTGTACATTATCCATAACTCCTAAGGTTGCGGGGTCGAGTCGAGCTCTGGTCCCGCCTCTTCACTGATCGCTACTAGGCACTTCCCTGTAGCGTGTTTATCTACCTCTGCTTAAGCATGTATGATCCTGTCCTCCACTACAGCATTCCAAACTGTCCACTTACTGACTACCTTGGTGAAGAAATACTCTTACATCCCTGTGATTCATCTGTGTCTCAGCTTCCATTGTCCCCTTGTTAGTGTCCAACTCTGAACATCCTGCCTTGTCCACCTTTAGTCCTCTCAATATTTTGTATCTCTTATCTGTCCCCCCATCTCTCCTGTCCTCCATGGGTCAGTTGATTTCCCTTAACCTCCCCGGAAAACCTTAGCTCTGGGACTAGTCTTGTTGCAACCTTTGCACTTTCTCTAGTTTTCGTGCTTGGCTAGGGGGTTCCAAACTGTGCCGCATACTCCATGGGCCCACGTTACGTGTACTGTCTCCTTTAATACCTTATTAGAGTCGAACTGTTCTGAGGTTTGCTAGGCCCCCTATGCGCAGCATTATTTGTTGCGCTTCAGGGATGTGCCTGGTTATTACTCACCCAAATTCTTCTCGAGTGTAGGTGATCTCTACCCCTAGACTTACTCCTCTG